GAAACTAAAAAAACAGACAAGCATCTGTGTCCTTGTTTTTGAGATAGAAGCCATTGAACATTTGGCGGGACCTGGTTTTCTCTAGAATGTTCGTATACTTAACATTCGCACCATTCATTTTTTTTTTCAAAAACAATAAAAAAAAAAAAAATAAAAACAAGGATTATTTGAGATTTTCGAAAAAGACTTTTTTAAACTTTATGTTATTGAAATATGAAAACAAAAGAAGGGTTAAGCGGGCAAAATTTGTAATTGCACTTCATTGATAAAACCAGAGTATTCCGAATATCTACAATAAAAAAACAAAACAAAGAGCAGCGACCTTCATTTTAAATTAGTGTGGTTTAAACTGATACAGATATACATCATTTGTCGCACCTCTATATACTATAGAAATGATGTGAAAGCATCTATGTCGTTGTCATTTAAAAGGGGAAGGTTTATGACATGCAAAAACAATTTATATCAGTGTTTTACATCATAACGGATTTAAATGAATATTAGATAAATATAACTAAGCGTATTGCAATGTATCAGCTCACCTGGTTCAGTGTCAGCATTTCTTATCTCTTTGCACTGCCTAGTGTTTTGAAAATTATTGTGAAAACTATGATAAATAGAGAGATTCGTTTGATGGACTTGAATCAACAAGAACAGATATGCGACTAACTACCAAGGTCGAAATGGTCTGTTGACTACTTAAGAAAATGTTGCACTTGATTGACGATTTTTATTTGTGTTTTTGTCTATAAACTTGATACCTTTAAAAGATAGGGAGACCTTTTTACAAGCCCATTATTGGTAAGCTTAAGAATAGAGTTACACAGTTATATACATGTCATGTACAAGTTGCGATTTTGTACATGTTATAATGTGTACAGAAATATTGTACATGTTATAATTTGTACAATGCAAAAATACAAGTTATAACATGTACAAAAGTACCTCGTACATGTTATAACATGTACAAAATATTGCTAAACATTGGTTTTAACTTCTACAAAATTTGAAAATAAAGCTATGTTTTATTTCAATTACTACATCACATGTCATCAACTCAATAATATTTTCATCTTTTGTTTATTGTCCATTCATGTTAGTGAGTTTGTGTCCTATATATATAACCATCCGATATAATTAGTCGACTCTCAATACGAGTTTTTTTTTTAATTTGATATCGATTTTAAATAATTTTCTGCAACTTTTCTTTTGATTAAAACTTTACATTTTTTAGACCTCAAAGAGAAACTTTAAAAGGCAGACAAAATCATCTTGGCAAGATCTACAAATAAATCAGAATGCTGAAGCTGTCAGTCGACACATCATAGGAGTCTTTACCCTTCAATGACATGTTAATCTATTGTTTGGGCTTTTGGATATACTCGTGAAAGCTATTATAGAGAAAGGGAACTATTATTTATAAGAACAAACTATGATCCGCTAGTTGATATCTGCAAACAAATTCAAATGACCGAAATTTAAAATTTCGACCACTCTGTGCGTTCTTGACAAAACATACAGTAGATTGACAGATGATGTAACAGCCAAAAGTATGAACGATGGAAGATGTACATGTACACAAAGTCAGTAGACCAAAACCGTCAGTCGACTATTGCCTTTAAATGGAGATTTGTACTATTCGCTTGTGTTTTTTACCTTTATTATTACAATCGTAGATTAAGAGAAATTCAGGCATTACATTCATCAACATCTTTTTAACAATATTAATCGAGGATTGGCTTTTATCTTCTCAAGGTCAAAAGAATAATGTCCCTTGGTAGTCATCATAAAGAGATTGTCTTGAATAATATGCAAACATCCTTTGTAAATGCTGTTGGGTTGTTATTCATGAAATAAAAGTCATTCTCACTTGAAGATGCCAAAACATTTGATCTTTGCTGTACTATCCATTGAAAACAACACAGTGGTAAAACCACGAATTTGTATGACCTTTGTATAACATATGTCACACAAATATTCAATATATAGTTGAGAAGATAAATTATAACTCACGACACCAATAAAGACTAGAAACTATTGAAAACTTTAGCAGTAAATCAACTAGTAATGGGATGATGATTGAAGAAGAACCAAATGTTGCATCTTACGACAAGAAAAAATGGTCTGGATGTCTGGATGTCTTCATTTGTGTATCTTAAAATATTTCATTCCATCTTTCTCTTTTCCTATTTTTTTTGGTCCATTATTCTTAGTTTTTTTTTATCGTACCAACCAATGATTCGCTATTCTTTATACTATAGCACCCTGTTATTCTCATTTTTATATTATACAACTCCGTAATTCTCTATTCTTTATAATGTAGCACCCATTATTCCCTATTCTCTATAATATAGAACCCGATTGTTCTCTATTCTTTATAATGTAGCACCCATTATTCTCTATTCTCTATAGTGTACAACCCCATTGTTCTCTATTCTTTATAATGTAGCACCCATTATTCTCTATTCTCTATAGTGTACAACCCCATTGTTCTCTATTCCTTATAATGTAGCACCCAATTATTCTCTATTCTCTATAGTGTAGAACCCCATTGTTCTCTATTCTTTATAATGTAGCACCCATTATTTCCTATTCTCTATAGTGTACAACCCCATTTTTCTCTATCCCTTATAATGTAGCACCCCAATTATTCTCTATTCTCTATAGTGTACAACCCCATTGTTCTCTATTCCTTATAATGTAGCACCCAATTATTCTCAATCTCTATGGTGTACAACCCCATTGTTCTCTATTCCTTATAATGTAGCACCCCAATTATTCTCTATTCTCTATAGTGTACAACCCCATTGTTCTCTATTCTTTATAATGTAGCAACAAATTATTCTCTATTCTCTATAATGTAACACCGTAGTATGCTCTATCATTTATAGTGTAGCATCCAATTACACTCTATTCTTTATAATATACCACTCTATTATTTTCTATTCTGTGTAGTGAAGCACCTTATTAATCTCTATTCTCTTTAGTGTACCATTATATTGTCTTCTATTCTTAATAATGTAATAATCCATTATTCTCTACAGTGTACATGTGTTGCACCCCAGTATTCTCTGGTATCTATAGTGTACATATGTAGCACCTCATTATTCTCAATTCTTTATATTGTAAGATCCCACTACTCTCTACTCTTTATAATGCAGTACCCTATTATTCTCTAGTGTCTATAATGTAGCACCTTATTATGCTCTAACAGTTATAGCCCTCTTGTTTATATAAGCGAAAACACTGTGAACACGAATGGCCATCGTCGCCAATTTGCAAGATGATACAATCGACTGGGGAGAGTTGTTGAACTGACGTAAAGCAAATTAATGATATAAGGGTTTTCTACAAAGCTATTACAAGACAAACTAGAATACACAGGTGTTATGATTGAAACTCTACTTCAACTATTTTTATTTCACACCCTTATGAGCATTTGACAGTCTTAGAAGTATAGCGTTGTTTGAAAATTACAGGAATGAAAGATCCAGATCAATCTCTGGTGGAAATTCAAAACAATTGCTATTATTTTGATGATAAGCATGGGAACTAACAGTACGAAACACAAGCAATGATGTCGGACTGATACACATATATTTAAGCTCATAGTATACTGCAAAATTTCCTTTCAAAATTTATTAATTGCACTTAATTCTCGCGTACCCTTTTTTTTTAGATAAAAAAAGAAACATGTAAACACCGATAATTTGTTATGTATCAACTGTATGTGTTCTATAACAGTATGCTGCTTTTCCCAGTTTTTATTGATAATTAACTTGAACATAAAAGTTATTCCACTATATACGGGAAGGAACAGACAATCAGAGTTACTTATTATGTGATTGATTCTGAAGGAAAAGGTTTTGCAACTTGATTATATATTCATAATACGACAAAATGTTGCCATCAACTTCATAGTGTAAACATTAACACTTTATAGTGTATCACTAACCGCTTATATAACTGCTAAATGATTAAGAAAGGTCAGACCTCTCCAGCTGTATTAACAAATGGTTCAGTATGGTGCAATGGAATACAATTTAAAATAATGAATTAAACGTTCCGAACTACTAGTCTCTTACACTTTGTGTGTAACTTTCTCGTTCTTTTTTGCTTATTTTTGATCCAGCTTTTTCAATCTGATTTTTACATTTAATATAGCTGCCCTAAGTAAAATGTCCAGGTTCTGATATTAGACAAAATATATAGTTCAACATGTTCAATCACAGTCTGCGTGTGTCTGAAATACATTTATTTAATCCATTAAATAATGCATCCGAGACTGTCTGTAGAACTTTATAAATTAAATCTACAGACTTGTCTTTGAAGACTGTTCGAGTTTCCTTAAAGTATGGGATTGCACTCGGACATGGGGTTGGTTTCGTTTTAAATTTAAGAAGAGTTAAAGTAAAGCGGGAATTGTGGAGACTTTTTCTTCGTAATACCCTAAACATTATACAGAATAGGTTATTGTGTGTAACATTCAATGCTCAGGAGTAAATAATCCTTATATGATTTGTGAAAAGAGGCAAAAAATACCAAAGGGAAAAAAACTCAAAAGTTGAAAATAAATTGACAAAGACATGGCAAAAAAAAAACCCAAAAGACAAAAAAAGACACACAACAGAACACAAAACACAACATAGTAAACTAAAGACAACACTAACCCCATCAAAAAGCGGGTTAAAAGAACAACATGAAAAATTGAGTTTATTTTGTGATAGATTTCGTAAGATTTTGATTTGACAGTATTTAGAATTGAAAATTCGTACTCGCTTTTTGAAACAAAAAAATTCATCAAGCATCGAAACTAACAGTCGCAAATAATATTCATTATCTTCCAGAATCTGTACTATCTTGCTCCAACAACAGAAATGTATATTCGGTTGTAGATAGTTTGACAACCTCTTTCTCGAAATATAAAGGGAGTTTCCTCACTTACTATGAATGACGATGTTATTCAGGGTACCGTGTATCTATAATAATGCACCTTTCAATTCATGATTGATATTTGTTTATTTATTATGCCTAAAAGACAATCAATATATTTTGCATTAAATGCTTATATGTTTACGTAATAGCTTTCAACGTTTTGTGATTGTTTTAACACATGACTTTTTGTGAACTTTAATAATTTATTGAAAATCGAACATGTAAGCCAAAAAAAAAACAGTATGCATTGACTGTTTTGCGAACTTATTTACCGAATTCAAAGTATTGCGTTTATGAATCCCCTGTCAATAAATGATGCAACAAAATATATTATATAAGCTGCAATATATTTTGGATGGTGTAATATAATTGCATCACGGCATCATACACATTTTGTTAAATGCATGCACATTCTGACGTATTGTCCACTGTAAGGAGCATGGGCATTAGCTATTCTCAATTTAAACTTCCCGCTTTTACCCGTGTAAATAATGTTATGTGTATAATGCATCTCAGAATACATTCACTCAAACACCAACATTTTATAAATCCCTCAATGAAAGCTCTTAAGAATCTAACTTAACCACTCATTTATACGTCTGTCATTTATGCATCTTGATTGGTGTATGCATATGTACTTTAGTTCACATCTTGCTTCAACTACCAAATCGCCTTTTTTAATTGAATACGGTAGACGTTTTTTTGCTTTTGATTATCATACATATTTGCCAGTTAAATCAGTTCGAGTTTATTTTAGAACTATTTTCAACACAAGTTGACATATATTTCGCTTTGGTCTATTGATACCATTGTCCCGAATACGTCGGCAGTATGGATAATGCTTTAATATGTAATCACAATTTACCGATTCGAATGTCCCATGTTTTATATATTTATAATTAACATCATATTCCTTGTAACATTCACTCGATTGTCCGACTGTGAGTCACTAGTGTGTATTGGAGATGTTCTGTGGTCCTAATTCTTGCATGCTCATTATCTTTTTTTATTCCTTTAAATGTTTCAGTAAAATTAATGAAAGTCGTCGTAATCATTCTTTTGATGAAAGTTAGAATTACTGTACGATATCACTCCATAGTTGGGCTCCGTCGCGGTCTAACCGACATGCAGTGTGTTCCATTACAAACTCCAACGTCCTTCTATCGTACCATTTTTCATTTTTAAGTTCAGGAAGAGTAATAACGACCAATTATTTTCACTGCCGACATATCTGTAAAACATAAACATAAATATGAGGAAAGAGTTTTTCCTTTGTTTCCTTAATGTATGTTTTTTCAAATGATGATTTTGATATCTTATATTTGCTAATATCGGAGGAATATAAAGCTTCAACTAAATGCCAATCATCATAATAATCATACAATTTCTTATATTTATTTATGAACAATCTGACCAAACAACACACGTATAGAAATACTGCTGTTAAAATTTTTTAATAATTAAAAATAAAACATGAAACTAATTTTAATCATATGTTTGTCTGAATACAGAAGAAAAAACTATAACATAATCATCATATATTCAACTTAATGAATAGAAGGCTGACATGAGTTCACGACAAAACATTTCACACTCACGAATGATCAAAGTATATATTCTATGTAATTTTAGTTTAGTTGGAGGACAAATATTATGACAATACTTGGCAAGAATTGTAGGTCACAAGTGATTTAGATTTTAACATAGAGATTAAACTAAATATAAGATTCGGACTCAAAATACACCAACTAAGATCATATACAAACCAAACGCCACATTCTCTACATGTTTTACAATTAGTTTCAAGTAATGACCACTGGTTTTACATTAAATTTGTTCTCATCTGTACATCGGTTTTAATTACCTCTTTATGGTAAATGTTCAACCAGTAAACAATATGCACATGTAATTTACGAATAGGGCTGTAAACTGTTACATCAGTTAGGCGCAGACCAATTCATATTGTTTTTAATTATAAACTTTTTTTTTGGGGGGAAGGGGGGTTTCGGGGGGATGGTGGTTAGATAAATTGTTTAAATTCCATTTTTTTTACAGAAAACATACATTTGTTTCAGGAAGGGGTGAGGAAAATTGTTTCATTCCATTGAAACTGAAGGGCGGGGTAATCAACATGGAGTTAAAAAAATGTTCCTTTATGTTATGGATGAAAAATTGTTTGTTTTTTTATAAATATGAAAAATAATGGTTTGTCGCAATAAGATGAATGGTTAATACCTTCAAAAAATTGTTATATTGATTTGTAGAACTTTGAGTGTTCTAAAGATATCACAATTAAACAGGATAACACAGCATAATTGTAGGCGAAAAAAATATTTTGAAAATAAGGGATTGATTGATTGGTGGTTGCTTCATGTTTAGTTGCAAATATTTCATACGTGTTCAGGACATGAACAAATTCACAATCAAAACAATAGGTAGGTCTTATAATAGAAGCCACTCGGGACGAAGTTCAGAGAAATTTAGACTGCCATTCGAAAATTAGAGTATATTGGATAGGGAAAGAGTATATCCCTTGCAACAGGTCACCTACAGACTCTTGAAAGTGTTGTTGCAAGGATTTTTAACGTGCTCTGATCTCTCTTTACACAAGTTATCAGATTTAATGTCTCCATTCTGACAGGTCGTGGCTGCATACTTGTACATCCCGCACAGCCAAACTGATGATACACTTTGACAAGGGTTTTACTGTCGATTGTAAATAAGACCTAAGTGAAAATATTTCTATTACCCCAAAAATCTTAGTGGTGATTTTGGAAATTAATATTCTGGACTGGTACTAACTGTTAAAAATAACATTTTCCAAAACAGGTTCACAATAAATATGTTTCCCTAAAAAATGCAGGACTTTGCAAGAAATAGTTGTATACAAAAAGAAAAGAAAAAATGTTCGTGCTAAATAATAAAGCCGTTATTTCAATAAGTAATATGCATGCTATCAATACATCTGTTATCGTGTTTCCGTTTGAAAAAATCTGTATGCATAATCTGGAACTGTTTGAAAATTGAGTTGTTATAAGGACCGTACAAATCAGACCAAAATTCATCTTTTATTTTGTATTTGAATGTTCCAAAATCTATCAAAGTCTTATATATATATATATATATGTGCGCTTGCATAAGGTGAATTCATATATTGACCCAGCTCAGATGTAAAATGAATATTCCATTAGCAAAAAAGAAACAAAATATTAGAAATCATTTTTCTTTCAATAATTGTAATCTCCTTAAATATTCATAGTAAAAACCACGTTCTTAATATCAAGTTATATGTATACTTAACATACACAAGTCCTATATTGACTATCGACTGCATGTAGTCAAAACCTGATTTAAACTATATGTAAACATTGAATTTTATCAATGGAAACGTAATAAAGTTTATTCTAAGTGTTTAGTTAACTTTAGCTCAATGTGAAAACGGCCTAACACAAACATTTGAAAAAGTACATACTCTAGGACTGAGAACAAGCAATATTCAAAAATGTTTAGGGTTTTGTTTTGTTTTTTTATTTAATTATGGTTTTATGTCTAGCGTTGCACTAACAAACGTTGATTTTTATATTTAGCATTGTCATAACGATTTCAAAACTATATCGTCAGATAATTTGTGTTCTGTCTTTATTGGGTGTGTCTTGACCATTGAACAAACCCTGACATGTTTTCTGTTATGCAAAAAGTAAAATAACAACATACCGAAAATTCTAAAAGAAAATTCCCTAAGCAATGGCAACTCAAAAGCTCAAACACATCAAACGAATGATAACAACTGTCATATTCATGACTCGGTACATTCATTTTCTAGTGTAGAAAATGATGGATTAAACCTGGTTTTATAGCTAGCTAAACCTCTCACTTGTTTGACAGTAGCAAAAAATGCCATTATATTGACATTGATGTGTGAAGAAAACAAAAAGACATAATAGGTAAAAATGTCAAAAATAGGAGTACAGCAGTCAAATTGTGTTATAATCTTAATCACAATGAAAACAAACAAATAGGTCAACATAAAAAATAAGGCATAGAGACAAAGCACATTAGTAAAAACGAAATACAAGAATACAAAAATTTAACATAGCAGAATAACACAGTGACGTGATGTATACGTACAGAGCCACGTCAAATGGATATTACCAAAAACAGACTAAACAGTAAAAGTAATAGTTTACAAAGACAAATGAAAGAATACTATAACACGTTTTAAAGATGATAAACAACGTCAGTACCTAGAATCTATATTTCAAGACCATCGTGTATTATTTGTGAAGTTGATAAGGAATATTTATCAACAAGGTCTTGTTTAAGAAAAAGGACGAGACGTTCTTTGACATACTCCTGGTTCATCAACTTTCTGCTCACTGATGACGTTTTATAAAGACTTGGTCGATTGGTTAAGTGATTTTCTGTACACAAGATTGCATCAACATTTAAAACAAATTAAATTTGGCAGGGTCATGTTGTTTACTAGACTGACTTAACATGTTTATGAAGTTGAAGATGTTTAAAGAACACAAAAGACTAGAAGAAACTAAAGGCATTTACAAACTTATAATTATATCGCATAAAGACCAAATACGCACGACAAAGAAAACTTAATTGACGCGGCCAAAAGTATCTAATTATTTCATGTTTATTCTTAGTTAAAATAAAAATTCCTATATATAAAAATATGAAGTTTTTGTATGATTTCCAGGAAAGCAAATCTCCACCACTGCCAAAATTGCATATAAGTTAATAAAATGTAGTCACCGTGTAGCCTTCCATATAATTAATCAGTTATATGACATCGGACAAATATATAAGTTCATGTTTTCTATGTACCTTCACTATACATGTACATATGTTTGTAGCATCCGCAATCAAGGTAAAAACTCATTAACTATACCTGGCTTATATTACGCGTAATTTCAATCGTTATTTTTCTGACAAAGTGTTCGGTTTTAGGTGACGTTATTTGATGTCATGTGTACGTTTGTTTGGCATTTCATCGACGTAGTAAACTAAGATAGAGAATTTATATTGTAAAGGGATACTTTCCACATGACTTTTTCAATAAATGTGTTCAATGATGAAATTAATATTTGACAGGGTTGGATTTTTTACACAAGAAAACAAGTTGTTTCAAAAATGGCAAGCAGGCACATTGATTGTGAGTTTAAAGATGCATAGATTCAGTTATCCTATCAAACATTTAAAAGACCTGATAAATCAGCGTATAGTAAAATAGTTTTTTTTAATGGTAATGTAACTTATATGAATCATACGCATTGGGTAAGCCATCATCTGACACTTAAATTATTTTCAAAAGCGGAAGTTACTATTTTCACTTTCACAACAACTAATTTGAACATGTACTTTGAAATTATATCTGTAGAACACAACATTAAAATATTATTATAACAATACTTACAATGTAGGATATATACAACAGGAACAAGAATGGTTAGTCAAGATATTGCATAATCTTTCTCAACTGTAAGTCAGATGTGTTAAGCAAAATCTTCGACTGAAAAATAAATGTCTATGTTAAAAATACAGGTAAAACAGTAGGTTCATGTAAACACTTTTGTATATCCATATAATATCACAAAAACTTATATGTACTGATTTTTTGTCATCGTTAAATACCCTATATCCTCTGTTTTTTTTTTTTTTTTTTTTTTTTTTTTTTGTTACTTCTATTATGTATTTTGTTTTTTGTAGACTAGTGTTTGTGTAATGTGGTGTACTTTGTAAAGTCTAGTCTGCGGATAACAAACTGTTATGCAGTTGATCCAAACTTGCCAATATCAACGCATATGCGCGAAAAACAATCATAGGGTAATAGTGTTTTTAGTTTAAATGTGTGTATTGTGACATGAAAAAATATTTCTTTATTCAAAATTATAATCATTTGCTTGTGCTGATGTACTTTAAAACATTTTTTTAGACGTTTCTATAATAAGTTTTGAACTAAAAAAAACATAAAATATTACTCACCTTTGGATGTCAGTGGAATTAATTAAGGTTATGTTTGTAAATACCTCATATATAGACGTTTTAAACATTTCTTTAAATGAAAAAGGAAAACATGAATCAATTCGTTAAAATTAGATATATAAAACATATGTATGATTAAACTCAACATACTAACATGTGCAAATTTAGAGACATGTTTAATCAAATATCAATTAATTCATGAGATAATGGTCATTTATTTGAAAATCATTTGTTCATGGAAGGGATATTTTGTTTTCATGAAAATATTATTCGAAAAAAGCAAAAGTGAGTTCAAGTTTTATTTCAAATATGACATTATCAAATTAGTCAAACTAAACATTAAAAACCAATAACACGTCGTATAATATAGACATGATGTAAACATGTCATAAAGTATTTAGAAAACATCTTTATCATAATATACAATGTGACATGTCACTTATGTCGTTTCAGTGAATGAAATAACGTTGTGTGAATGTATGTAGTTCAAATCTGTATGGAAAGAGGGGCAAACACGATATTTCTATGACCTATCGAATTAAACTAGCTATCGGGTTTGTACTAACATGAGCAACACGACGGGTGCCATTTGTGGAGCAGAATCTGCTTACCCTTCCGGATCACCTAAGATCACCCCTAGTATTTGGTTGAGTTCGTGTTGCTTAGTCTTTAGTTTTCTGTGTTGTGTTTTGTGTACTATTATTTGTGTGTTTGTTATTTTTCTTTTTTAGCCATGGCGTTGTCAGTTTATTTTCGATTTTTGAGTTTTAATGTCCCTCTGGTATCTTTCGCCCCTCTTTTCTAAATGTATTACAAACTTGTATTAACATAAACCTTGAATATTTATCGATTGAAACATTATTAGTAAATAAAATTAAAAACTCGTGAATATGAGGTAGAACGAACTATATGCATCCCTCTGTAAGCCTACAAAGTAGGATACGTTTATTCGTTTGTACTATTGTTTTGTCTAGGTTTTTTTATTATTGATTACTCATAGCTGATATCCAAATGGTAACGTCAATAAAAGACTTCTCTCTCATATCATAAACATCTGTTATTGTGAATTCATTAATATTCGTTGGAAACCAATTTTCGTGGATTTCGTTTTCACATGGGAACCACGAATTAAAATGTTCAACGAATTACAAATTTTTCTAAAGGAATGTTTGCAGACTTAGCATTAACAATGACATTAGATATCCACGAAAATGCAAGTTTTCCCTAATCCACGAAAATTTGTTACCACGAAATAAAATGAACCAACAGTATTGCATTTATTAAGCTAGAGTTAGTTAACCTTTACGTTTCGTTAATTTAATGCGAATTAACAGCTACGAGATAACATTGATTATATGGCTGCATACACGTACAAGCAGTACATAACTATTTCACAATCTTTAGACAAAGACACATACAAAAAGGTTAAACATCGTCAACTAATGACAAATAAAAGTTGCAGATGAAAATATATAGATTACATATATGATAAAATTATGCATAACATATTTCGGTCAATAATTTAAACATTTATTGCAAACATTTTTATTTGTCAAATTACGTGTACAATTCATCCGTATTGTGCAATATACATTGTTTGTATGCATGTAATTTTCTCATTTACAGACTAACATACATTTGTACAAACTTATTCATTCTTCTTAACAAGTCATTATTTACACATATTGCATTTTAAATAATCCAATTAAAAAACATTGCAAATTAATTATGAATTGATTCGTTAAGAAATATCCACATGTTTATTGGACTGATAATCTTCTCATTATAAGCTCTGATTCCTTGCCCGGCTGTGCCTTTACCTTTTGTTCTTTTTGGTTTATAATGTATAGGCTCTTCATTTTTTTTTCATTAGGTTTTGATTTTTTCAAATATTTCGGCCATACTATCATGTGACATGTGAGCTGCATCGGATAGAAATTGACAAATACACTTATACATTTACATGTATCATACTTTGATTGATTTTGAAACATTCAAATACGAAATAAAAGATGATTTGGTCTATTTTGTAGGTTTTTTTATATCGACTAAATTTTCAAACAGTTACAAATTTTGCATATAGATTTTTTTCAACCCGAAAAAGGTTAATATATATATATTGATAATCATTTGCATAAGGTCGATTTCTAACTGACACAGCTCATGAATTGTGGAAATGCGTATCTTGTGCAGAACAATTGGTACCGTTCATGTGATTTTATCTTAATTGACTGAAAAAAATATAAACAGTATACGAATATGTCAGATAATTTATCTTTACCCTTTTCTTCCAATAAGTATATCCTTACCATCATAAAAAAGTACACCATGGATTGTCTCTGTATCTGTGTGTACGACCTCTGCCATTGTAACTGGTGATACTTTGACCTTTAATATTTGATTACCATTTGAGCAATATATTTTGCTACCATAAACATAGATGCCTATGTTTGTTCTCGTTTTATTCGTGCTGACAATTTTTATAGCATTTGTTCCATTTAGATCGGAAGATTCCAAATCACCTTTTTGATATTCCATCCAATACAGTCGTTTTTTGTTAGCATCTGAAATAGCAATGGTGTACTTAGAATCACTATCATCAGTTTTGGTAGTTATTTCAATATGGTGTTACAAGGCATTTATGTCGTGACTATATTGAAATAAAATAAACATAATTATCGCCTCACATTTGACACACGATTCATTACACTGATCAATGATAATTAATACTTAGCACAAAAAAAATATAAAAATAAAACTAGTAATAAATATACAAATAGTGGAATTGTTGATTTACAGAATAAAGGCCTGACCTGTAACGACAATTTAGTAACATGAATTTGAATTAATAGATATAATGATGTGGTATGAGTGCCAATGAGACAACTCTACATCCAAGTCAAAATTTATAAAAGTAAACCATTATAGGTCAAAGTACGGTCTTCAACACGAAGCTTTAGCTCACACCGAACAGCAAGCTATAGAGGCCCCAAAAATTACTGGTGTAAAACCATTCAAACGGGAAAACTAACGGTCTAATCTATATAAAAAACGAGAAACGAGAAACACTTATGAACCACATCAACAAACGACAACTACTAAATATTAGATTCCTGACTTAGAACAGATGCAAACAATTGCAGCGGGTTTACACGTTTTAATGGTACTAAACCTTCACTCTTATCTAAAACAATAGTGTAACATCACAACATAGAAATACACACTATACAATATCAATTGAAATGGCTCAACTCAATCAAAAGACATATTAACACCAGTGAACATACACTGAACAAATAAATTTGATCTATGATACAATGTAAATACAAAATAAATAAACTAAGGGAAGACTAGTTAAAGTAACATGTTATACTGCTGTGGAATGTCAAACAATTTAAGAAAAACAGTATGCTTGAAGAAAAATATCAGCCATTTGCAATTACTTTAAACACAGGTAAATGAAAATAATTTTGTTGTTAGGTATACGTGTACAGTTCAAATGGATAAAGGAAATATTTTTAAAAAATAAATAATTTTGATGTTCATAGTACGAAGAATTGAAAATTTATAGTAATACCAAACACTTATCAAAGCTGGTATATAGACCAGATATAACCCTGAATAAGTAAACATTAAATAACAAGAAAGCATTACAATTAGTATCAACAGGTCAAATAAACAAGAAAGTACGATTTGAGAGTACTCGCCGTTACTGACAGCTAGTTAATAGCCAAAAACAATTAATAAAAAATAATCATGCATCAGAGACTAAAATCAACTAAAACACATCCCAGGGATTTAGTATTTTAACGTCATGGACAGTCAAAGAAGACATGACTTGTGCAATGCCAAAATAAATGTATCGACAGGCAGTAGGTTAGTTAGGAGTTAACCTCTTTATAGATCAAAATGAACGTGGGTGAGTCTTTATACATCCCGTTTGAAAAGAATACAAATTTAGTTATGTTTTAATTTGCTGATGACAAAATCGATATTAGTGCCAATGTAAACTATATTCAAAGATGTAATTACAACATTGGTAGATAACCTTTACTAATAAATTGTTTAAAGGTAAGTTTGGCAGGAATATACAGTTTTCACTAGTTGTTCAAATCAAATGTTGTCATTTCTGGCCCCTCGCGACACACAATGGTTTAAAAGTTTTGTAATTTTGTCTTGTCGAAGGGTGTCAGTTTTCTAGGAATAACGATGAGCCTTTCGGGATTACTAGGAGTATTATTCTTATTATTTGAAGAAGTCATTGTATGTATAATAAAAGTAGTATTATTATAATCATTATCATGATTATTGCATTGTTATTCAATAGAAATCCTTTATAAAGAGTAAAACACTCTTTAGGCTAAAACCAGCTCTTACTAAAAAGTAAAATAATAGAAATACCGATCTGCAAGGGGATTTCAATACAGAAAGTCCTTTATAAAATTGCAAAATCAAAAGCTCAAAAGTCAAAACACACCTTACGACCGGAAAACAACTTTCATATTCCTGACTTGGTACAGGCATTTCCTTATATAGAAAATGAGGAATTAAACCTGGTTTGTTAGCTAGCAAAACCACTCATTTATATGACAGTCGCATTGAATTCCCTTTTATTGACAACAATGTGTTAGCAAAACAAACAGACATAATAGGTAAACACGTCAAAAATTGGGGTACAGCAGTCAACATTGTAATACAATCTTAATAACTAATAAAACAAATAACAGTTTCAACAAAGAATCACAGAATGGCATATAGACAAAGAAAATAACCAAAATTAAAAGACAATAATTAAAAATTGACCATAGCACAATAACACAATGAGGGATGTATGAGTATCGATCCACATCATATGTATGTTATCAAAAATGAACTAAACAGCAAAGGTTAAAAATTTAAAAGGACACAAATAGAAAACTTTACACGTACAATGACGTAATTAAGATGACAAACAACGTCAGTTCCTAGAATCTATACTTCAAGACTATCATATATTATTTGTGAAGTTAATACAGAATATTTATCAACAAGGTCTTGGTATCTTCCAATGATCTTTTTAAAAAAAAGGACGAGACGTTCTTTAACATAACCTTGGCCCATCAACTTTCTGCTCAGACACTAGTGACGTTTTTATAGAGTCTGAGTAGCAGCAGCAAGCACTTGGATACCGAATGAGTTGGGAAATGTATATCCCATATGAAGGTGAAGTTGGTATGTTGCTGCTAAGGTGGGAAAAGTTTATAATTTCAAAATTGAAATCGTCTCGTTTGTCAGAGATTCTGGTATTATGTCAAATTCGAGGTATAAGTCTAAAAATTGAAGTAGAAGAAGCCGTGTTAGTTGTCTCTTTAATTTCAAGTTCTGGAGGATATATTAATGGCACCGAATCAGAAAAGTATGGATTCTTAATGGAAAATACATCATCAATATATCTAAATGTGAAATTAAATGATCGGGCATCTTTGATTTTCATGTTTTTGATAAGTGTCTGAAGGAACTTATATGAAAATGAGAAGAGATCGGCAAGGAGTAGCGGACAGTTTGTTCCCATAGGACAACAACTTGTTTAAAAAGTATACCTCCAAATTCAACAAATATGTTATCAATGAGAACCTCCATCATACCGATCACTTGTTGCTCTGTGTAGCATGTTTTATCTTTTTGTTCAACCAACTTTGTTTGAGTATTGATGTTAAAAGCTACTGTTAACAACCTTTGTCAAGTTCATGCTTAAAGTTATAATAAATTAAAAGAAACTGTCTGCTTAATGTTTTATTGTTTTAACTGCTCACATATTTATTTAAGCTGGGCCTTTGTACAGTTTATTGCTTAGTATCCACAAGGTTCAAAGTCAATCGGTCACCTGCAATTGTGCACGTCATTCTTGGTTTAACTCTATGGATTGTTATCTTATTGGCAATAATGTGACATTTCTAATTTTCTAATTTTGAAAAATGTCATGGAAACAACAATTGTTAAGGGGGTATTTTTCACATAAATTATACCATTTTCGACTTATTGATATACTATTAGGTCTTTTCTTATGTATATAATTTTACACATAAGAAGTTAGCAACTATGGGTCACCGTACGGCAAATGTTTTTTCTTAACGTTTTGTAACATACAGATAGCAAGATTTAACAGTCTTCATTTGGGCAAGTCAAAAATTAGAAAAGGACTTTTTGTTTGTATGTCACGGTCTAAAAAGAAATGAAATAACATGAAAAGTCATTTTTGGAGGTTTTCTGTTCAAACCCCTGGAATAGACTACTTTAGCAGTATTTAGCAAAAACTTTCGGAACTCTGACTGTCAAATGCCCTTTAAATCCGTACTTTACCCGGTCTTTCTAAATTTTTATTTTTCATTTGAGCGTATCTCTGATAAGTTTCTCCTAAGTGTAAACGGACATTTCAATAAGTTAATGTACTGAGTTACTCTTTTCCATCATTAAATATTCAGAATATATTGTTGTATGTTCTGTTCATGCTTTTCTTTTATATAATACTTAATTTGTAAATATGATTCTGATGAGCTTTCCGCTTAGACTGGAAACACTACTTCTTCCGCATATTATAAGTACTTGTTGAAGGCTTCTGATTTATGGATAAAACATATTTTTGTCATTGTATTTTAGCCCATTAGATTGAAAAACGTCCAGCTTCAACCTCTAAAAAGGCTGCCAGGAAAACATTAAATGCAATCGTCAACACATTAAATTTAATTCCAAGAGTCTTCTATCATTATGGAGGCTATCGGTCATCGGTACCACATATTTTATATCGATGTTGTCGTTTTTTTTTTTAACATAAACCATTGAGTCTACATACCTATACCCAAACCAGTTACATCGACCAATTATTTAATGGTCGTTGTGTCAGCAACATTTAATTTTGATCTTTTTATTTTATTTGTCTTTGTACTATAATACAGCCATCTGTAATCACATAATAGAAAAATATTGAAAAACGTGAGAGTTGTGAATAAATGGTGGTAGTCTATTTTGGATCATATTAAGACATGTTCCTTAAAAGGAAAATGATGTCGTGTGGTTTCTATCACCTAAAACAATTTAATCTTTTTCAAAGAATGTTTATTACGTCTAGTTTTTTTTTCTTTCTTATTCGTTATTATTTAGTTTACATCATGTCAATACCCTACGATGATATTGCACATATAATCCGTCATGTTTATTATGTGGCATTGACATTAAAACGAATAACATATCGGAACTGAATTGATCATATTTTAATGACATTATTACTTTTCAATAAATAAGAACCAATTTAAAACCCCTTTACTATCAGTTGATTTCAACAATCTGCTTCCAAACGGTGTCTTCTTATACGTTATTTAATGTTTCATTACATTCTTTATGACCTTGAGTAAAAATGGTGGTAACAACAAACAAAATAAGAATTAAGTAAATGATAAGAATGGTTGTTACTGTTGCTGTATCGTCAGACATTACCAGAATTATCATCTGTGCTGCCTCAAATTTCAAAATATAATCTTAACACAGAGGAAACAACACCAAACGACTTATCATATAATAATATGTTAAAAACAAACGCAAATTGAAGACAGTTATGTAAAATGATTTGTTATAATCATTAAACAATATTATTCACTAACATACTTAAAAAAAAATAGGAAAATGAAAAATGATGTTTTAACATGCTCAGAATGCACGAATGACAACCTCAATAGTTTTGACTATTTCCTGTGAAGTCCCAAAGATTTGGTTAGATAATTAAGGAATGACTGTAATATTTTTTCTGTCTATGAAGAAATAACATCAAACATGTGGTGCACACTGAATAACCCGCGTAGCGGGTTATTTTAAAGTGTGCACCACATTTTTTATGTTATTTCGAATAGACAGACAAAATATTACAGTCATTTCTTATAATTTAATTCTAAATTCCATTTTAAACCGGAGTAAACCATGAAAAAACGTTGATGACGTCACGGTCACATGACAGAATTATGTCTATGAGCTGATAAACAAAACAACGTCAGCCAATCAGAAGACACGTTACATCCGAAATTAAATTATTATGTTATAGATAATGCATATTTTCCGGTTTTTTCTTGTCATATAGCACACCGAGGGGTGTCAGGGTTAATCAAATGAAAGGGCAATCCTGACAGCCAGAGATGTGTTATACGACAACAAAACTTTAAATCTGCATTATCTGACTTATATATCGTCAAAAAACATTATTTTCTGCACTGATGTGCAGGATTTTAATTGTATTTTACCGAAAACACTAAAGTTGTATATTCTTTTCTGATACGTCCAGGTTTATATACGCCTTACGGCTCATTTACAATGTGTAATAAAATCACTGATTGATTTAGATATAAACTTTAGAAATCATTATCCAGTTACAATGAAAATATAACTGTTACAGCATGAAGGAAGACACAAATGAATTGTTACGGTGTATGAAAAATACAAGTCACTTTGTAAGTTGTTGTCAACTTAGATTAAAAAGGGGGATACCATGTTTTTTTCGTTGTTTTTTTTTGACAATGTTATCGCGGAAAAGCAGATTATTCTTTCAACAACTTTAAATAAACTATTCAGAATAAATTTTGCCACTCTTTTGTCTAGCATTACATTTTTTTAAACTGATAACCTGGAGTATGCATTATGCATCCCCCCTAAAGTTCACGGCTGTTATTCTGTAGAAAAAAAGAATATTTAGTCATTTGATCATTTGATAGAGTAAAACAAAAAAAATAGATGTAAAAAGTTATGAACTGGCACAAAGGAAATATGCAATTGTGATACATGTACATACATGTACAAGTAACACGAAAAACGAATATGCAAGGTCGAAGAATGATTTTCAATACAACGTGAATCAATAGGATTTTCAAAATCCTACACACGAATGTTAATGTGTTAAATCTGGCTTGTTTTGAAAGTATTAGTTAAGTAAAGTTAAAATGTGCGTCAACGACAATTTGTTGGTATTTCAATCTAATAGACAGTGGAAATGATTGTTTCTGTCGAGCCAGAAACGATGGAAAAGTAAAAATGTAAAACCCTAATTGGTAACATCACACGATTACTATCAAACGACTTAAATGTTTATTAAATAATTTAATTATAGTTTGCATTTTAATCAGGGAAAATAATGACCGTACATAGGACATTATTTTATGTCTTGAAGTATTGTAACTTGGTATCGTCCGGGTTGATTCTTCAAAAAAAAAAAAAGACCTTACGTTCTGTAAGAAAATAACTCCGTGCAGGTATATATTGTTACTTATCTATTGAACATTGTTTTCCAAAAAAATGCCAAAATAGAGAGACAAGAGCTAAGCACACGGAACATAATTTCTACATGTATACAGGTTCACTATTGTAAATAGTCTTTGCAAAATTTGTAAACTAGTAAGTAGTAACATATGCACTTCTTCGACATATTACACATGTTTTACTGAAGTTTCAGCGATCTTCTTTTAACATTGTAATGAGATGAAATAAAATGATAAGGGAACCCACGTCATCCCGCCCGACCTTTCGCTCGTAAATCAGACTGGCGTTACAAACATAGAATATAGAAATAAGAAAATGATGTATGATTGCCAATGAGACAAATATCCACCAAAGTTCAAGTGAAGTGGATTTTAGCAATTGTAGACAACCATACGGCCTTCAATAATGAGAATAAAAACCTAACTTTATAAAAGGTCCTGACATGAAAAAAATATGAAACAATCCAATTGAGAACTATAACGGCCTAATTTATAACAAAACAATTTCCAAAAATCAAATATTAGACATGAATCAATTACAACGACTAAACGACAAGCTTCTGACTTCGGACAGGCACATTACGAATGTTGCGGGGTTGAACTAGTTTACTGGCGCTAAATCCTCCCCTTAAACTGGGACAAACAGAACAACATTAGAACAAATTTTGAAAATCAGTTGAAAAGGGCTCACCTCATCAGATCAGATACAAAAAAAAAAAAACAAAAACAAAAAAAAACACGAAAACACAGACCGGATGTGGCACGGTATCTATACATCCCAAAACAAAAAAGGCACCAAGTAAAGACTTGATAATACTCGAAGATACTGAAAGCTGAAACTAATAACAACTAATAAAAAGAATCATGTATCTAAGTCTAAAATATCAATCAATACACACCCAACACGCCATGGATTTAGTGTAAAAACGTCATTAATAGAAATCTTGACATTGTGCATTGCTAAAATATAGTCATCGACAGAGTTTAATTCCATGAATTTGTGTATAACATTAATATCAACTTTTGATTTAATTTAATGATATCGAAACCAGCCAAACTTGCAAATTAAATTCTTGTCTCTATGGAAGAATATAGAAAAAAGGTTTTAAAAGATTCATGGTATCGAAATACTTGACTAAAGAATCTTAGTAAAACATATATTACACTCATTCAAATTCAAAGCGTCAATTCAGACACGAGTACAGCGAACGAGTTGTGATATATAAATGTTGTGTACAAGTTATCATTTTGTACAAATTATAATTTGTACAAAAAAGTTGTACAAATTATAATTTGTATTTGGACTTTGTACAAATTATAATTTGTAAACAAGTGCCTGTACAAATTACAATTTGAACACAATTCAACTAAAATTCACTTATAACTTGTACAATAATTTATAGTATGTATTTTGTTATAAAAAAAAGCATAGATATACACTACAAAATATTTATATAATATTAAATGTTATTGATACATGAATACCAGTTAATTCTGATAGTACAATGAAAATTGGCCTCAGTGGCAATTCTGATAGCATAATAGAAATTGACCCCAGTGACAATTCTGATATTATAATAGAAATTGACCCCAGTGACAATTCTGATATTATAATAGAAATTGGCCCCAGTGACAATTCTGGTAGTATAATAGAAATTGGCTCGGGTGACAATTAGGATGATGTTGACGTTGAATCACCAATCATACGTGCCAAGAATCGTGCGCTGGCTGGCCAAAAGATCCAAGCCGAATTTCTAACCATCAAAACGAAACAGAAATTATCAGAGCTGGCTGTGGGGGATAATGTCATTTCACCAATTCCTCAGTATGATCGTTCCTCAACTGAAATCAAATTGAAGCTGTTAAAGCCACATCTTTATTCGAAGCAATGGTTTCTGAGCTTAAAATTTTGCTACGTGAAGCAGTTAAAAAGCTTTCAAAAAGTGATGGTCAAGGTTTTCTTTCATGTAGATACAAAGGGGAGAAGCACTTCTCAATATGTAAAATGTAAAAGTAAAACGCAAATGAGTTTGTGCGATTCCCGATGCCATAATTCACTCACACGCTCAAACAAATGATGCAGAAATATTTTTGTATTCGGTAATTAAGGTTTTTTGTGTGGTCATTTAATAAAAAATCTATAGTGTGTATCAATGCTTTTTTTTATAACAAAATCAACAATTTGAATTACTGTACACGTTATAGGTTGGACTTAGCAAATACTGCTGTTTCACTAACCACGCCTCTTTTGGGGAGATATATAAAATTCATAGATATTTTGTTTTGTCTACGTACTGGTTCCCAGATATGATCCCTATGTTTCATCCTAACTCGGGAATGTTACCAGTATAAATGCACATGGTAGGCGGTGGAATTGAATTCTGAGAAAGATCTTAAGTGAAGTGAGGGGTAGTGCAGAATTTTAGTATAATTTTATACTCTAAGAAGTTTGGGGTATATTAATGTTGAAAATATGACGCACAGCCCTGTGTATTGACATTTGAATAAAAAAGTAGTGCAAATCAACTTTCCATTCTAGGACATTATTTTTTACGAAACTTCATAGTAAAAGTGGCACAGGTCTAGCCGTAAAGGGAGTTCCTATGGGAAATTGCATTGTCTATATTTACTGAAATGCAACCTTTTTTTTTTGTAATTTATTTTTTATTTTATCTGAAAAAGCACCAAGCATTGTGATACATGAATACATAGATAATTTATAATACATGTATTAATATTAAATTTTTTAATAACAGTCTAAAGTTAAAAAGTTAAAAATGCTATTGTTTTATTATCTATATAATAATTATCTATTAGATCATACTCATCATTTATCACTCTGGATATGTTGATATTGTTAATGATGGCATCAGCCTTCTCCTCTTGCCACATGCATCACTGTCAATACTATGATGTTGAACATGAGAGGTACCAGGAGAGATCACCAGAGATCATTAGCAGATAAGGGTCAGACAGGACATGTTGGACAGAATCACAAAATAAATAACAACAGTATAAGACAACCTAAGTCAAGGGGAGATAATTCAAATACAATCAAGCAAAAACAAGTGATTCAATATATATATAACAATATCAATAAACATCATAGATAGCACTTTTATGATGCACATAAATCACTGTCCAGTTGTGATGCGCATCAACATATTATTAATTCTACATGAATTATTTTAAAGCCTTAAGTGAGTACAAAAAAGAAAGATCTCTCCTCACATGTAAAATAAGTTTTTAATCATTTCCCATTTACTATCAAATTTCTCTCTTGCTTTAGGGGATCTGTAAAAGGAGGTATATATTTTTTCTATTTGGTAGGAATTTTTAATCATAGCTATCGCCCCTGTAAGAGTCGGTAATGAAGTGTTAAAGCGACATGTATAAATATAATACTTAATCAGAATAGTGAATAAGTTTAGGGAAACATCCCAACACTCTGACCCAAGAACAATATTTTCCGCATTAAATATTAAAGTCAGATTATTTTTAACTTGAAAAAGTGCTGCAATTTCTAACCACAAATTTCTAACTTGGGTACATTCCCAGAAAAGGTGACTTATAGTTTCTTTAGTTTCATTACAGAAACTACATAAGTTAGTTTCTTTTAATCCATATTTCTGCAATAATGCATTTGTAGCGAGAGTTCTTTGGAAAATCTTAAACTAGAACATACTAAATTTGTTGTTTTTAGTGCAACAAAACGGTAAACTATAAATGAAATCCCAATTTTCTATATGAGTGCTTAGTTCTTTACACATGTTGTCTTCTTGTTTTGTAGGACGTTCTGTATACATTGACAAGATTTTTTTATAAAAGAATTGACATGACTTTTTATTGTCTTTAATAAATTCAAAATTATAATTAGATATGTGCATAATTTTCACGGAAGTAGTGATTAGATCTTTCCAGGATTTTGGTATCATATGAAGTATAGAATGCTATTCCAAGAAATAAATATTAAGATTATATTTTCTGCAGAACTTCTTTAAAGTCAAAAATTCACTATTTTCATCAAGTAAATCACGCACAAAGAAAACTCCTGATTCAACCCACCTCTGGTAAAAGACAGTTTTATTATTTATTGTCAAACTCTTGTTTAGCCATATGGATTGTTTCATGATCCCTTCAGCAGTGTCATTAGTGACAGTGTTAAGGATATTCCAGTTTAGTAAAATATCTTTCCAAAAATTATTGAAATTTGAAGAAATCTTTTGGATACCATCAGGGGTCATCAACCATATTTTGTCTGCTCCGAATCTGTTGTATTGATCTATTAACAGTGTTTTCCATGGGGATATATTCAAGGGGTCTAAAAGTTTATTTATCCATGTCATCTTTAGTGAATAACAAAAAGATCTTATATCTGGCATTTTCAACCCCCCTTTTTCATATAACCCTATCATAACTTTTCTTTTAATCTTATCTGGTTTTCCTGACCACAAGAAACTAAAGAAAATGTTTTGAATTTCTTTTATTTTATCAACTGGTGGGTTTGGCAAAACTGTCAATGACTGAATTAGAATAGGTAGAGCTAATGATTTAATAACAGTGATCTTTCCCATATACGTTAAATCTCTATATACCCAAGAATTAAGTAAGCTCTTAAGTTTTTTTATTTTTTCCACAAAATTTACAAGTGTTTTATTTTCACTGAACAGATCATATTTTATTCCTAAAAGTTTAAAATTTCCTGAATAATTCCAGTTCAAATTTCTTGTAATTGTTAGTTTATCCCTTGAGTGAATCTTTGACCCAATCCATATGGCTTCAGTTTTATCAAAATTAGCCCTTAGTCCAGCACTCTAAGAGAATTTTTCTAAAGTATATAAACATTTTTCTAGAGATTGCTCAATCTCGTCTAATAAAAGACATGAGTCATCTGCATACTGGCTTAGAAGATATTCTGAATCATTTATTTTCAAACCATTTATCTCCGGGTTATTTTTACGTGCAGCGCTCTCATAAGTTCTAAAGATAATATAAAGAGATAAGGAGATAAAGGATCGCCTTGTCTAACACCCCGACCAATATTAAAAAATTGAGAGCAGTATCCATTGTTTATAATACAGCTCTGAGATTCTGAATATAAGGTCTTTACCCATTTACAAAAAATAGAACCAAATCCTAAAAAAGACAGAGCCAAGTCTATAAATGACCATTCAAGGGTATCAAATGCTTTCTCAAAATCTAATAAAAGTAAAAGACCTGGAAGATTATCATCTTCTGCCTTTTCCATAATGTCAAAAATAAGCCTGGTACATTCATCAATATACCTTCCCTTTATGAAACCTTGCTGTGTTTCACTGATTATATCCCCAAGAAAAGGTTTTATTCTATTTGCTAAAGCAGCTGATGCAATTTTTGTATCAACATTTAATAAATTGATAGGTCTCCAGTTTTTTAATTAAAATTTTGATTTACCCTCTTTTGGAATGCATGTTATTGCTCCTTGTTTCTGACTAACAGAAAAAGATCCAGTTTCTAAGCTATAATTAAAAGATTTTATAATAAATTCATGGAGGTCTATCCAAAAGAATTTATAAAATTCAGTTGTAAATCCATCCATTCCTGGAGATTTACCATTTTTCATATTTTTCAATGTTTTTACGCATTCATTAGCATTCAAATTACCCTCTGCCTGTAACCTCTGTTCATCAGAGAGTTTGCGGATAAACGGATTATTTTGATGAAAAAATAGATTTTTATGTTCTTGAAGAAGAATAGGATTTGTTGAGGAGTACAATTTTTCATAAAATGATTGTTGTTCTTCTAACATTTCGCCTTGATTAAAAATTTCCTCTCCATTATCCTTAATTATTTTTGGAATTTTTTTCTCATTATAATTTCTTTTTTCAAGATTACAAAAATAGTTAGTACATTTTTCACCTTCTGCTACCCATCTTGCCTTTGCTCTTGCCATAATACCTGTTACTATTTTCTCTCTGTGTTGAACAAGTTCTTCTTAAAAAAATTTAATTTCTGTATTTATCATTTTAGAGGGATCTATTTCATAATAAGTAATTAAGCTAACTTAAGTTCTAAATCATTTTCGGTTTTTGTGTTTTTCTTTTTTATATAACTGGCATATGATATTGTTTTCCCTCTTATCATACATTTTAAGAGTTCCCAAAACATGTGTGGGTTTACTGATAATTCTGTTTCTAGATCATTCATAAGTGAATTTTAGTCAAAATATGTACACGTTGTAATTTGTACAAGCACATTTTGTAAAAATTTCAATTTGTACAAAGTAAAAATACAAATTAGAATTTGTACAAAATGATAACTTGTACAACAACAAAAACACCGTTAGACGGTGCCAGAGGAGCATCACCTCCAAAAAAATAAACAATCGTCCCTTTGGTCGTAAATTTTTGTTAAGACTTCTTGTGTAAAACTGATATATATAACTAACTCTAAAAAAGTTCAGTTATTGCTGTTAATATTGGATCTATTTAAAGTAAGTAAGCTGTGGTGAATTTCGGCAGTATATTCAGAGTATTCTTGATTATTATGAGAAAATATCATCAAAATATCAGTAAGTATTGTTAAATTTATCAATCAAATCGAATTTAGACAGATAAGCTGGTTTCGTGCTTTCTCTATTATCTTATTATAACCAGATCCCAAATGCCGTAATAATTTTAATTCAAACCTGTTTACGTAATCTAATGTAATAGCATATAGTTGATCATCTTGCAGACTGAAGTTCTTATTTGTCCCATCAAAATTACATCTATAGATCTTTTGTTGGTATATTTCTGTCCAGTACACATGATTCAATAGCGGGTCAATAACCAGAGCTATTGGTTCCCTTGCACTTGTTACCAATTTAGTGCTATAAGCTGTATCAGATGGATAACGAAACCTGTAAAATGTAAATAATACTTTTGTATAATTTCACACTTCCTAAAATGAAATAAATACATTCCGTGCGTTTGAAGCGCTTTTCAGGATTTTCTTTCGTGAAACACAGCAAAATATTGAAAACACGAAACCAACGAAATATATACAAAACATTTGTCAGAGGTGACAATATGGAACAAAACCATAACCCATTGACCAAGACAAAGTGGTTAGCATGAAAAATGAAACCAAGGTTTTTTGCTCCCATGTAAACAATTAAGATGAGAATAGATTAGCGCAGATCTAATTATCAACTAAACAAAATAAAATGAATGTGACACTTGTTTCGTCTTCACTCTCTGTATTTTGAGGATATAAGGGTTCGTCCTACGAAAATATCCAACTTTCATTTGTATGTTAACTTCTCTCTTTGATTGTAGTTTTCTCTCTCCCAAAACAATCTTTTCATATATGAAAATCCCTAATAGTACCTTATGTACTTTTAATTGAGGTTATTGGCGTTCAGTCTATCAGAATGATTCCTCCAATATATTTTATGAATTAACCATTATATTTTATTAAAATTTAAGACCATTGTTTTCATTCTTATTAGCAATCACTACAGTATATTATATTATACTATGTAAGATAAACTAATTTGAGGTAATATAAATGACGTGGATATATTTATAAGTAGCTCAAGGTTTATCAGGTCTTTGTATGGACTTCAACAATAATGGAAACCAAGATCGTTAAGTAGCTAAAATGCATCAATATGGCGAAATATGAAATAATTTAAACAAAAAAAACAATAAACATAATACAAAACTCAGAACTTCATTGAATAATCCCGACTTAAAACAGGCATACAATGAATACATTAGGTTGCACAAGATTGTGTGTGTGTAACTGTCACTCTAAGCTTGAACAGTATTGTGACAGCATAAGTTAAGAACCAACTGCTTAAATTAGTTGAAAAGGATTTTAGTAATAAGAACGAAGCAGATCACAAAACTATAAAGTCACACAGTAGTTACTATTTCTTTGTAGCAATATTCCAGCCTGCATACGAAATACATATCTCCAAGTTGATACGATTTTCCAGGGCTTGCATTCCCTATCACCTTTTCTTTGATAGAGGGTTGTTGTCCACAAGGAAGCTATTAAACCAAGAGTCCCAAATGATGAAGTTAAAATTATCTCTTCGTACGTTTTAAGGACGCCATCAGAAGTTGGTTGACCGTTATGGAATATCCGTTTCATAGATGCTCATAATGTCGTAACTACAATCCCGTCAACTTTTCCCGAATGTGAACTACCGAATTAGTCTTATTATCGAATATTTGTACTTATATGAGCAATACCTTATGTGGAACAGTGTCTACTTACCTTTCCGGAGCACCTGAAATCACCCCCAGTTTTAGGTGTTCGTGGTGGTCAGTTTTTAGTTTTTTATGTTGTGTTTTTTGGACTTTGTCTGTTGCTTTTTTTTTATAGCCATGGCGTTATCAGTATTTTTTTGACTTATGGGTTTGAATGTCCCTCTGGTATCTTTCGCCTCCCTTTAAATGTAAGATCATTAAAGCCAAATGCAATTAGTTGTCGTCCATAATAATTTTCAGTCAATCTTTTAACATTTTACCAGAATGCTTAACGATCGATAAAATGGGATTCCTGAAATTGTATTTAAATAGATAAATGATTCCAGCCAAAGACAGGAGTACTGAAATACAACATACACATGTATATCTCAATTTTAAGATTATAAGAAAATGCTTTGATTGATTACCTTAAAATGTCGTCTTTATTATGCCTCGGGAAAAAAATATATCCAGTTCTATAATCATAGTCTGAGGAATACATATTACTCTGCAGATTGGATACTAAGGTTGATACTACTCCATTGAGCAAATTTATTTCTTTAATTGAACCATGAATTGAATAGATTATCTTGTTTTGAAGCCCTGAAATTAAAGAAAGAAAAACCCAAAACATTCTATAAAAATTATACTCTAAGTTTTCTTTCTTACATTTTTTCCCCCCAAAACCAGCACCAGATAGTTTTGGCTGTGGTCGCTGTATATTTTTGGTTTTATTTACGAAGAAAAGCTGAATTAACTTCTTAAGCTTTAGACAACACATTAAATATGAAATTACCCGTTCCAGATGCTTCGTGTAGTGTAATAAGTTATTTTTCGAGAAATTATGTTCTCTGTTGCAATCTTTATGTCTTTATACCTTATTATTTATATATTTATTATATCAATTGCAGAATAATCTACAATGGTAATATTAAGAGCTTAAGCCCGCGTGAGTCTGAGAGATTTATTACACGGAGGCCTTGACATATTCATGGTATTTTTATTAAGCAAATTTTCTCTGTTTTCTTTTGTTTTCTTATTATATTATTACGTCATCGGGGACAAATACTTGCCTCCCAATACCGCTAAACGTATATTTCATTAGAGCCACAACAAAAAAGCACATCAACTAACCATATCACGTTTATTCAAAAAGAAACAAATTATATCACATGACATATTGCATCATCACACAAAGGGACGAAACTGTCATGACTTTGCTATAAATCATATACGACTATATATAGACACATAACACTAACTAGATTAAGTGTTTACTTTAACAGCAGTTTCAATGAAGCCATATTAAAAGATTAAACGTTGGGAAGAAATCAAGGCTTTAAAACATTTGTTTAAGTGATTCACATGTATGTTTGATTTCTGACATTTATGTCCATCAGCGGCATAAATAAATATATGTATATAGCTTTCATTTGAAAAATCGATTATATATAACTGAATTGGCATGGTTTTAATATACATTCAAAGATACGATCCCTTTATAAAAAAAAACCTGTATATTAATAAATGAATAAAAACGCTTGATAAGTGAAGTTGGTAAATATTGATCATATGTTTTTGAAAAGTATTTTTGTCGAACCTTAAACAATGAATAAAAAACCATATATATAACCATCAATAGCGTTGTTTCATACATATTTAACTATGACCAACGCGCACATTATGTAGCGATATCATACAAACAATGTCAGCTACATTTTAACATTTATAAAAAGAAGCTTTTTGAAATACAGACTCGAACCATGAATATAATATTCAGCGTGCAAATTCAATCTTTTGGTAAGTATAAACTATAGCTTGAGTAGCGTTGTTTACTGATTGTATCAATTATTTTGTTTTTGTATCGAACACCACACGTGTCGTCTCGTTTGATCTCTGAATGACAACCTTTTTTGACAACACTTATCTAAAAAGGTTATAAGGTACGACACGAATGTTACCATATAACATTGTGTTCAACAAATGTTCAACCCTTTTTTCTAAGCAATATAAACGTATATAAGGTACAAATGATCACCTTTCAACTTATTCATTATTTGTTGTAATAAACATTGCGTGATCGTTTTTGTTTTCGTTTATTTAAGAATAATTTATATAGTATTATGTAAATGACTATTTAACTACAAGCATGTCCCTTACCTCTACTGATGAAGCAAACGAAAATGAGCAACTTAATTAAAACACAAACACTGTATTCCATCATGATGTTATCTGCAAAATATAAAGAATTTATTGTTAATAAGTCAAAGTAAAACACAATTTTCAATTCAAATTGTGATGATATATTCAAAAATTAATCATGTTTAGATGGTAAATGCAAATATCTATTATTTGCGTCGTGTATTCTATATCTATATTGTTGTTGTTTTTTTATTATCCAGGCTGTTCTATTTGCTAAATGTTGTTATATTGTTTTCATTTTCTTTCAAATAAAAAAAGGCAACATTAGTAAAAGGCTGTTTAATAAATCGATTAAGCATAACAAATCCGGGTTACAAACTAAAACCGAAGGGAAAAATCAACTTTAAGTGGAAAACAACAGAACAACAGAAACACTGTACTGCAACATTAAACAAATTTCAACATACACAGAAACGGACTAGTTTATAGCAACTGACATGTTTCCGACTTGGTACAGTACATTTTAAGATCATTTAATGTATAAAAAATGTCACGAGTTTATTATAACTTACCCTTAAAGTGACTATAAAACAAGATGCAAAAGCATTATATGTCCAATCTGTAATCCTATTGACAAGCAAGGTAGATAATGAAACGCAAATATAAATTGTTGTAACCAAAATTCTTCCGTATCAAGTTCCCTTGTTGATGAAAGAATGACCTTTCAGATAATCATATGTTTTTTTGTTTTTTTTTTTATTTGTATGAAAACTGGGTTTGTCGTTCCGCATTCTTTGTAATATTTAAATTTGTAAAAAGAATAAATAACAAAACATCTCACTACTAGTGTATTTAGTTTACATTTAACATAAATTAACGGATACAAAAATAATTGTTCCACGATAAAGACAAGGATACAGTGAGTTGTTAAAAATAAAATATTCGTATCTGTGTACCTTTAACAAAGACAGTATTGCTTTTTGACCATGTGATTTATAGTGTTTCGTTTCAACTATTGTATTTAAGATTAAGTCAAATAATGTAACACCTGTTGTAGACCTTTATTTTGATGATTTTGTACTAATATTGATAACAAAATTGCTTTCAGAAAAAAAGTATATCTAAAAATACTTACAGTTTAAATAAGCTAGTAACTTAATAAATTATATTCACAACCGATAAAAACTATATATCCCTGTTACCAGTATGACTGCAGTGAAACTATATTATGACATGGTCGACACGCTTCAAAAACATGATACAAAAACAATTTATAAAACATGATTCAACAAAAAATGTAAACCATAGGGTATGTAGTCGTATGTGAGATAAGGGAAAAAGATAAGTATATTCATTAAATATTCCAAATGCATTAAATTAAAATGTGATATGATTGATTGCAAATGCTACAACTATCCGATAGAGATAAAAAAAAAAAACGAAGATAAAAGTAATGATAGGCCAATGTCAGTCTTAAACAATGAAAAAAACACAAACTGTAAAGTCAGTTATTATAGACCTGGACATAAGCAATGTGAAACACTCCAAACGAGAAAACTGACGGCATAATTTGTAAAATCCAACCAACGAAAAACAATTATGACAGACAGGTACAGAAGACAATCGTAACATTAAAGCTGACATGGGACAGCCACATGGATTATGAGGTTGGGTAAATGTGCAAATGATATGGTTATAAGTTCGTATTTTCAAAACAAGGTCTTAACTTTGTGTTTATGCTGATCATGGTTTGCTGTAATTGAGAACGGAAAATCAAATGCATATTCAGGACGGAAACATTTAAATGTGCCCTTCTAGACTGACATGCAAAGCCTTATCAGATTGTACATTCAAGAGATATGGTAAACTACCAGACTTTTTTTTTTCGAGCCAACCAGTCTTTGCTCTTTTTAATGTTGCGTGCTTAATCAAGAAGAACCCTTATCTAACTGTTAGGAAAGGATATGACCTGACCACAGATTCAAACCGAAAATCCTGCTTTCCCAACAAAACAATGCAGACTAGCTACTACAAGATAATCGATGAGTTGTTTTATCAAAATGAAATGATACAATATAAGGATTGGAGAACAAGCATAATATAACCATTTAATTTGGTAGTGTAATATGAGAAATATTTCTCTTAATGTTACACTTATCTATTGCTTGCATTCATGACTGTCGTACAATGGACGGCTTATAACAGAAAATGCAGAACGGCAGAACAATTATATATAACTAATATGTTTTGTCAATAAATTTTGTCTTAGGACGTTTTGTGCATCGCATATGGAATATGTGCACTCTTTGAAAATAAGTATATTCGCTATACACGTTTCCTGAACTTGCTGCTAATGTTTGCTGTTTCTGCTGTTTCTGCTGTTGATATCGTTGCTTCAGCTGCTACTGCTGTTGATATCGCTGATTTAGCAGCAGCTGCTGCTGCTGCTGCTGCTGCTGAGGAGGAGGAGGAGGAGGAGGAGGAGGAGGAGGAGGAGGAGGAGGAGGAGGAGGAGGAGGAGTTAGGTCTGTCACATATTTTGAACAATATCTGATCCAACAATTTAACAGCACCAGTGTTGCATTTCGACACGTAATATATCGTCGGGAATCTTGGGGCATAATACAAAACCTAATACTACTGACGAAGAAACCAAACAGAACCTAAAGTAAAGCCAAATAAGGAGTTAAAACTGAAGGTAAGGTTAGGAGAAAGATTATTTCTATTTTGTCATAGTGAACTATCAATTTCAATATGTCAATATATAGCAGCAGGGCTTGTGTCTTTTGTTAAATTTCTGTGGACTACTGTTATTATTAAAGCTATTGTTTTTACTCTTATCAAAATAAATGTATAGACGCAATCACAATTCGGTTGATGGTTAAGGGATATCTTAATCACAAATAGCTTAGGGCAATAATAATTGTATACAGTCGTTGTACAATATCAACGTTTGACAAAATAAACCAGAACACTTTTTACAATTATATATCGAAAGAAATGATTAGTGTTTCAAAGCTCGAAATGTTATAAAGTATGTTAATAAAAAATCAAACTTATGGTTTATAAGTGACATAACAGTTTTTATGAGTCAAACAATGGTTATTTAATGATATAAACAAGTCTCGCGTTTCCTTCACTGGTGATTTGTGAATGATGTGTACATGCCATGAAAATTGTGTGTTATCCAGTCAAAATGAACATTACAAACAATGTTGCATTAGACTGACTGTTATTAAGACCCAATTTCGTATAATTTTGTTCGGAAACTATGTTTGCACGTATACTATTTTGTTCATACTAACCCTACCAGGTAATCTACCCAAAAACTGCTGCAACAGAG